CTGTATTGATAGTGGGGGTTGCCCCGACCCAGGTGCAGGACCTTGCACTTGGCCTTGTTAAACCTCATGAGGTTCACACTAAGAAAATTAAAAAAACATGGTTGCAATGTATTTTTTTTCCCTCCTATAAGGCATCATGATCTTTTCATCAGGGCCTGGTGGGCCAGCAAGTCAAAGCCTGGTAATGGCAGGCAACCTTGTTGTTGGTGTGATGACTTCTCTGAGCCTTCAGGCCCTTGGCTAGTTCAGGAGCATCTGCTGCCGCTCCTGGTTTCCACCGCCTGCGAACAGGGGAGTGGAGCAACTGTTCCCACCAACTCAGACCTCCAGAGGTGGTCTGAAATTATTTTTTAAGGTAATCAATGCAAGACTTGAATTGAAATTAGTTGTGTGATATTAAGGAAGTCAGCATCATGCCATAATTCTTGCTTTCCTACTTCCCGAGCTGGTTGGAGAGGGGCAATGGTGTACAGTTGAGGTCAGCAATTTCATCTGCATGTTGTTTGCCTCATTTTTTGGCAGGTGGTTGGACAAACTCGGACTTTCAGCCAGGCAGGGGATTGACGTGGTGATGAGACAGGTTTTCTTTGGGGCAGGGACCTATCACCTGGTGGATGCCAACTTTGAGCCTTTGCCGGTATGTATGCAACCCCGCTAACACCATCTGAATGCTGCATGTATTTCTGCACAGGCAACACTGGATGTGGAGATACAAGTCAGCTATTTTAACAACGCAGGATAGCGACAGATTTTGTAGGATAGTCGCAGTTATCTTTGCAGCTGAAGTTAGCTCATGTTTCATTATGGGTTCATGTATTATATATATATATAGATACAAGATATTTACGGCAACTGCAGGGACGCAGCTAGTCGTCAGCACAGCAGAGACTGATTTCTGGGACATGATGCTCTGATTTGTATGCAGACGCTTCTGGAATTCACAAGGCTTTTCTGGATGGACTGTTTTGGTTTGAGTACTCCTCAGCTGGGTGATGAGTAGCTTTTAAACAGAAGTGATACAAGGTATTATAATAAATTATATCCCAAGTGAAAACCAAACAACATGAAGTCAAGACTCAAGCATTTCTTAGGTCATGAGCATATTTAGCCTTCAGTAGTGGCTGAAGGAGAATTAAATGAAAACATGCATTTATTATAGTTTGATTTATTAGGAAATAACATTCTGCTGTGATGAAACATCATTATTTGAACTATACGTTGTTCTTGCATGTACAGCATGTTTCTTTGTGCTAGTAGCGCTTACCTTGGGTTGAGAGGATAGCGTCTTTCTTTTTAGCTTTCCTCTCATTTTTCTGCTTCCAAGTTGTGATTTTCACAGGTTATAGAGACCATATGAGAAGAAACCCAGCATACCGGGTTTTTCTGTCCTGCCTGTTCAGCTGGTCCCTATGCCAGGGGCTGCATTGTCAGGCTTGGTGCTTTGGGCTTTTTATTCCCTCATTTAAAACAGATTTAATTTGGACTGAAAGGATGTGCCTTGTTCCTCACCTACAGACAGTACAGATGATAATCAAGCTAATAATGCTTTAGAGGCAGGGAAATCCAAACCCAGTCCATCAGTTTTAGTTAGCATGGAAATGAAGAAGCACAGCAGTGTCAGAAGGCTGCACCTCCTTGCAAAGGGGCTGAGCATGCAGGCCGATAGGAAAAGTCACTTCCCCGGGCTCGTGGTGAGTCAGGAAAGAAACAGGACAGTTTTCCTTCCAGGAAAACCTCAAAGACAGACAGACAGATGAGCTGGGAGAAGCTCTCTGAAACCTGCCAGCTGGAGCACATCCTCCCCTGGGGCTGCACTCAAAGAAGTGATGCTGCAAAATGCATCCTGCCTGCGGCCTCCTACTCCCCAAACACATTTGCACAGACCTCGTGCTCTCTTTGGTACAGTCACAGACTTCATAGATGAAAAGTAGCGGTCAAGATGCAAGAAAATGCAGACCTGGAAAAAATGAGTCTGCACTGGGCATCACCCCTGCTCTTGGGCATTGTCCTGGGGTTTCAGAGGATTTACTCTTGGCTGGCGTTCAGAAATTAATCCTGAGGCCTGTTCAAAAGCACGATGTTAGTGAAGGGCATAAAAGTTGCGGGGGCTTCGTCCCGGCATTGTGCTTGTGGATTGGGCACAGGCTTTCCTGCAGGAGGGGCAGCTCATCCCCCGCGGATTCAGCCCTGAGGTGCTCTGTACCCTGCGGAAGGGCGTTTCCAAAATGCAGACAGTCTCTCCCCCACAGAAGGAGCTCCGAGATTTGCATATGAAGGGGAAAATTACTCTAAGGTAATGTAAACACAGCTGCTGTGCAGCTTGGAGGCAGGGTTTTCTCTTTAGCTATGCTGTTAGTGGGAATTTAAATACATATGGTGAAAAACTTGCTAAAGCAAAAAATTATGGGGAACCCTCCCCCAAAAATTACCAGAAACATGAACGTTACATTAAGCACCGTGTGGAGTACCTGGCATGTACAGAAGTGCTTACGTCTGTTTTTGTGCCTCCCAGGACTACTGGCTCTCGCTGCTCTACAAGAAGCTGGTGGGTACCAAGGTGCTGCAGGTCAGCCTGGTGGGAGCTGACGAGAGGAAGCTCCGTGTCTACCTCCACTGCACGAACACCCTCCAGTAAGCCTCCAGAAAGGGCAAAATATCCCAGAAACCGAGCCCACAGCCACCCCCAGGCCAACAAAAGCAATTCGGGACAGTGCAAGGATGCACGTTATTTCTGTGAAACCTCTTTCTCTCCTGATCCCCGCCATCATCTTCTCTTGCCTTACAGCCCAAAGTACAGAGAAGGGGACGTGACGCTGTTTGCCTTAAACCTCTACAATGTTACCCAACATTTGCAGCTACCGAATTACTTATCAAGCAAGCACGTGGATCAGTACCTCTTACTGCCTCGTGGCAAAGAGAATATACTTTCCAGGTAAGTGTGCAGTTCCTCCTGTCTCTGTAGAAAGGATTGTCAGTAGAGTTAGATGGCCTCTAAAACCTCACCTTGTTCCATTTGCAAGGGGCAGGGAGGAAGAGGTTACCATTCAGTCATCTGGGTTTTTTTTCAGCAAGGTCTGACTTCTGTTAAATCAGGTCTCCTAAAATCAGGCTGCTGAAAGCTTGCTAAGGTACAAGGACGCTTGTTTGATGTTAATTGGGAAGCTTTTTCCTAGCAAGTTTCAGGGATCTGGACCGGCTGCTAAAGTCCTTTTTCTTTTGCACAAGCACAGGTATATTGCTTTCCCAGGTGCTGGCTCCCGGTTTACAGCATCGTGTTCAGGCTTTGTATGGTTTCTTTTGTTGTTACCACTAATGCATCGGCATGGGAAGGATCTGCTCTGTGGGCATAGAAGATATCTTAATATTTGCAGGAGAAAAACCAATTAAAATTTGTACTTTTCAAAGCCTGTTCTGCTGTTAACCTCACTAGAAGAGTAAGAAACATGTACTTTTCAACTTGCTTGTGCTACGACTCTAAAAGGAGTCCTTGCAGAGGGAGTGCAGCAGATGCTCTGTGTGTGTACACTCATAAACCCTCAAGGGAAGTTTAGTTTGTCTTTGGGCTGAGTTTATGTTTACACTCAGGTCCAGAGCTGTTTGTGCTCGATGGCAAACAGAGCACAGCTGCCCAAACAATCTCTCTGTCCCTCTCCAGGTCTATTGAGCTAAATGGCCGTGTGCTACGGATGGTGGATGACAAAATGCTGCCAGAGCTTATCGAAAAACCCCTTGGTCCCGGCAGTGTACTTGGCCTTCCAGCCTTCTCTTACGGCTTTTATGTTATCAAAAACGCCAAAGCTATTGCTTGCATTTAAATGGTTAGTACACGCGTGCAGGATAAATGTAAAGCACTTGGCTAGTAGGGAAGTTTAATCCTAGAAATTCACGTTTCTACCATGAGATTTAATTCTGGCAAGGGATGCAAATGTGGTGGCACTGGTATGATCTGTGGGCTGGGGAAGACATGAGGTCCCGCTGAGTACGTGAAAGATGCTCATTAAGCTCCCGGGAGAATTATCCAGGTAGAGCTAGCCCAGGCAGGGGCTGGATTTGCTCTCAGTCCAGCCTGGGTTGCTGTGCTCGAGCCTGGAGCCCTTCTCCATGCCATGCGCGGAGCTGTGTCAGCTTCTCACGCTGCACTGGGGGCACTGCCAGCCAGGAACTGCAACCTCCCCTCTCCTTCTAATTTCTGCAAGCACAGCTCTTAAAGCAGTTCCTTCAAAAGCTTGCCTTCAGGAAGGATGAGCAGGTATTTTATTTTAGCTGTACAGCTGTGATTTTGCCTGCACTGTGTGGGGAAGCCCAAGGAGGGGTTGCAGTTGCTGAGGGCATCTCGGGGTGGAAGGTGGGGACATGAAAAGCAAACCAAGGTTGGGGTGCCTACAGGGGAAAACGCCTTGCCAAGAAACCAGGTCCTTCATGGGATTTGGGGCAGCACCGCACATTTTTCCCAAGCTAGGAGAGTTCAGTCACAAGATGGAGCTGTGGCCACATGCTTTCCAAAGGCGAGTTTTTGACACACAAAATGCAGGCTGTTCCTGCCAGGGTGGTCTACCTCTGTCATCACACACTTCGTCCCTGGGAGGAAAGGAGAGGAACCCACAGGCGCCCCGGCAAACCCTCCGTGGCCAGTGGGCTGTACGGTGAGGGCTCATGACTCAACCTTCACCACCCCGCAGGTGGTTCAGCTGGAAAGGACTTCCCTGAACCTATCTGCAGGAGCAGCTCTGCTTTACGCTCCCTAACTCGCTCAGGTCTCTTCTGTTCTCGAGGAGACAGGAGAGTAAAGAGACTGAGCAAACCACCCACCCCTCAACCATCAGAGGGACTTCAGTGGCCTTAGAGCATTCTGGGGACAAACCTGCCCGGCCAGGCTGACATCCCTCCCACTGGGGAAACAGCCATTTTGGCCAGAAATCTGTGTCAGCAGTGGCTTTTCTCCCCAGCCATGCCTTCCTCACGCGCACCCTGCTGCAGTTCGGTGTGCCACCGGCCACTTTCCTCTGGCATGCGGGCTGCCGGTCTGCAGGGTAGCAAAACACCTTGGAGAATATCTGTGGTCTCCCGCACATGTTTGTTTGCATCTACTTTTCTTGAAGATATATAACCCATGCCACTGTCAATGCCTTATGATATTTTGAGCACAGCAGGGGAAAACAACACCACACCACTGTATTTCCCTTTTTAAGCTTTAAAAGGATGCTACCAGCTACATGGGGTTTCAACGCAGGGCAGGGGGGGAGGGGATATTTTTTAATGACAAGGCTTTAAAAACTTTTGAAGCTGTGATTAAAAATTGCACAATAAAAAATTATATTTAAGTTCAGTGTGTCAAAGGAGTGTTTGCATCCACAGCGCAGATGCATTCTGTGAAGGGTTATGTATCAGGGGGTAATATAGATCAGAAATGAGAATAAGGAAGGCTAAGTTTGTTTACATTGTCCAAGTTCAATACAAGAAGTAAAGAGAGAGTAAAATGGAGTGGAAAGTCTTACATACAGTCAACATAAAGGTAATAATATATTATGATTATACTAATAATATAAGTTACAACTAAGACATCAAAGTTATTGTTTGCCTGGTAGCTTCTTTTTAGAACTTTTCTAATAGTTCTGTTTATTCCAATGCTTGTGACTTTTATATTTGAAGATTTTAATTAAAGCGATTTATACCAGCTTTTGGCAATCTTCCTTTTTTTTAAGACTGCTTATTGGCATAATGATACCACGAAACTCCCTACATTTGGTCATACATCATCTGTGCTTTGTGTGATTCCCAATAAGAGTACCCAAGTAAGTAAAAATGAAAGAAATCATATCCAGGTTGGTGTGTTGCAATTATAGCTGACCACCAGTTCAGAAGCCCTCCACCCCGCTGTCTAACTCAGACACAATACACGGGCTGATGATCAGCACGCAGGAACTACTGGGAGGGGTACAGGCATGTCCGGGTGCGCAAATGACAGCTGCTCTGGCTTTACCTCCCAGCCACACCTCCTTCTCTGAGCACACGGCCTGGTTCTTCACACGGCAGGGTGGGGAGAGGTATGATTTACAGCTCACATAACTGCTTTCAACTTAAAAAGCTCTACACACCCCCAGATGACTTCTCTTTACAAAGTGGTGTATATTAAGCTGATAGCTACTGTTAGGTCTGTACAAACAAAGCAGGAGGGACAGGAGCATAGGAAATGAGACACTGGATCCCGGTACACCAAGACAGGTACGGTCAGAACCAGAGGCGAACATCGCCCTCGCAGGACCCATCTGCAGCAGCAACGCCTGCCCCACGGGCACCTTATCTCAAGGGCTTTTTTCCCCTGTGTGAATGTTGTAAACCTTGGGGTTTCAATCTTGAATGTCAAAAAACATATATACACACACTTATCTGAGTCCGGGAACAACGATTATACCTCACACACGTTCCAATTTACTTTTGCATTTTTGACTCTGGAGCTTGGATTACCCACCTTGGATTTACTGTAAATCAGTTCCTGGAAGGTGGAGTAAATTGCACTATGAAACCTTTATATAGGAGATCATTTAACGTATGTGAAAATAAGGAAACTGATAATCTCCTTAGAAACAGGGGCAATTTGACCATCAACTCAGATTTGAGTCAAACAAGAAAATGGGGCCTTAACAGCTTTTGGTGCTTTTTCAAAGTCTGAAGTGTACTATTCCCTAGATTTTTTTTCAGCGAGGGGCCAGGCCACCTTATAGTGAATATAAACCTAGTGACAAGAAGTTTGCTTTTCTGCTTTACTTTCATGAGCTCCTTAAAAATTGTCTGCAGACGGTCTAGGGTTTGTTTTCCACATCACACATAAAAAAGCCCCGCCCACAGTGTCTGTGCCCACCCGGTGAGTATCGGAGTTCCTATGGACACAGCAGGCACAAAGGCTGTGGGCGCGCATTGCCAGGACTTGCTCGCTGCTCTCCAGGATGCACTGTTCAAACACGCCTCGGGCACTTGTCTGTACCTGAATAAAGTCCACAATGACTGACCTTGCCAGTGTGAAAGAGCCAAGGTCACAAAAAAAAAAAATTTCAGAAAAAAAACCCACTTTCATGAGAGTTGAGCAACTGTTTGTTTCATGGTCCTGTGCAAATCGTTTCACTGCTGTGGAGAACTGCTCATTAAAACAGTGAATGGAAAAATGTGAAAGTCACTTCTCCATCACATTGGTTTTTTACTTTCTCCTGGTAGTCAACATTTTGGGAAATTGAAGTTCAAAATGGTTTCCCTTGTTTTTGTCAGTGTGTCAGTTGTTCAAGCCGAAGGAAGTGTGGAATGAGACGGAAGTTATACACTACATGGACACCGAATTCTCCAAGAAATCTTTCAGCAGCAAATCTGGGGACATTTTATCACTGAAACCATGCCATGCAACGCAAAGCTTTTATGGCTTTGTCCGAAGCTCTCCTACCTCCCCGGTTTATGCAATAACTCATATAAGATGGTGGGAGAACTGAGTGAACGAGGACAGAGATCCAAAGGCCATATATAAAATCAGAAATTTTTATTAACTACAGTCTGGAGAGGTTTGGGAGATGAGACATATGCCGACGCATGAACACATATATCTTGATATGTTTGATGATACACAGTCACCTATTGGATTTCAACAAATAGCATGGAAGACCTTGAAGATATTTAGTAGTAAAACCAGCACACATACTTTTAGTGAGGTGCTGAGGTACTGTAACTAAAGATTACAGAAGTTACTAAATCTGTGCATTCTGTTGTTTTGCCATCGGTCCCCCTCGGGTGCTCTGTCAGCATTCGCTGCTCAAAGCCGACGGCAGGCGAAGCTCCAGCCTCCCTCACATCCCATGCCAGGAGACTCGCCTGCCGTCCTCCGTACCTGCGCCAGCACCACGGCAGACCGATTCCTGCTGGTACCTGCCGGGCCCCGCGACCTACGGGGAAACGGCTGCT